AGTTGCAGCAGACGCTCACCGTTGTCAGTCCGTTCTGAGTTAAGCCCATAATTACCACCCATCTGAGCTTCTGAAGAGCTCAGACGCCCTATTTGTGCGTTCATATCCCCTGCAAATACTATAATATCTGAACTAGTGGCACTGCGTAGTAGCGCGTCCAGTTCGTGATAGAATGTGTCCTTGAGAACATATGAACTGCAGTCGGTGGGAGCATAAGCGGAAATCACAAACAAACAGCGTTTTGTACTACTTCGTGAATCAACCTTGGATGATGTCGTCAAACGGGCTGCACATAAACGGCTGTTCACCGGAATCCAATCAACCAACGATAACTCAGCCTTGGAGCTTAGAATGATACCTACACCAGCTTGACCCGTGAATGCTGCATCAGCGTCTCTGGATGCGTGCAACCAATGACGAGAGGGTAAGCCGGGTGCAATTAATTCAATAACCCCGTTAGGGTCATTGATCCTAGTTTCGGACACACAACACACATCAATACCCAGTGTGTCCAAGGTGCGTGCGAGTGCAGCCTGTTGACCTGTTTGTCTTAGAGTGCGAACGTTGAATGTCGCCATGGAAACGGGATAGTGTGGCCTTATAAGGGACTTTTGCCGATAGGCGTCCGATAGGCGCTGTGGGATGGTGGCTGCAGATGGTTCTACCCCAGTGGCACTTCGGTTGCTGTCAATTAAGCTGGGAATTATAGAAGGAAGGTTAGTAATGGGGGTCTGGATGGGAGTAAGAGAAACAGGTGGAAAAGAAAAAAGCGAGGCGCCAGCAGTGGCATGTTTTCGCTTATCCGCCCTGCTGTATGCAGCAGATAAGGCGACCCTTGGTAATCTGCGCGACGACCGATGCAGGATGAAGTTTATGTTTGAAGGAAATGTCATGGTTGTATGAGGGCTGAGATAATGCCAGGACGCCCAGACCTAGACAGGAGGACGATTAGGGTCCTCATCCAAAGCCTTTGGCTCAAAAGCCTGTCCACAAGGCAGCGGGGAGGTGGCAATGATTTAGTTTTACGGAAATGGACGCCATCCCATTTCAAACCCCCAAAATGGAGGACCAGGAGACTGAGTTTGTCTGACCTCTCACCACTGACCAACCTGGTATGAGTAGCTCTCAAGGTGCCCGGAGGCACCACCCAGTATAGCTCAAAGGGTCAATGAGGTACGCAAACCGTCGCACCACGTTAAGGTCCAGTCTCGTTGCGAGGGAACAGCAGTACATCAGCCACTTGAACCGATGCTTCATTGTCGTACAATCACAGTGACCTATGGAACGAAGAATAATAAGAGGGAGAAGAGGAGGCATGTGGTAAAACCTTAATGACTTAAACAAGACCTCGGAGTCAGAGCGTTTACACTTTGCCAACAACATACCATCACAAACAGTTGGCTACCGTGCAAAAGGCGGCATCGGCGAGACAGCTTCTTTGCGGCTTTCACTGCCCCGCGTCATAATCAGACATTACCTCGCAGATAACTCAATACAAGACACCCTATAAACAGGCAGTCTGACTAAGAGACGATAGCAGACACGCTGCTGGTGTCGAACGCGAACCGTCCTGTAAACTCTAGAGCCAACCACAAGGCGAGTCAAGTGGACTAACCTATAAATCTGCAGGTCCTGATAATGTCCATCCAGTGATTGTTAAACCGCTCGATCGTTTCGGATCTACTCAACTGTTCCCTTCGAGCAGGCTACCATATGACTGGAAGGAGGCGACTGTCGTTGCGATTTATAAAGAGGGCTCAAAATCTGCGCCACACAACTATCGGTCAGTCAGTCTGACAAGTATTCTTCACAGGTGTCTGGAGTAGCTCGTTAGGCACCGAATTTGTAAGCACTTAGTTGTTAACGACTTGATTAGAGCGGAACAGCATGGCTTCGTTAGAAGTTATGTCTTACGACTCTGTTGTGTTTCTTGGAAGAAATAACTCGATATCGGGAATTCAGTGGATGTCTGCTACCTAGATTTCAGTAAAGCGTTTGACTCGGTTAATCATGGCTTTTACTAGAGAAGCTGAGTTGGTTTGGGTTGCATCCACAAGTGCTGACTTGGTTGCGGGATTTCCTCTGTGGCAGAAAGTTCAGTGTCAGAATTGGTGAAGTCAGGTCTAGCATGGGCACTGCCCATAGCGGAGTCCACAGGGTTCAATGCTAGGACCGTTGTTCTTTCTTATGATTATAAACGATCTAGCTCCAACCTTGAGAACCACTGTTATGTTTTTGCAAACGACGTTAAGGCTGTCAGTAGGGGAGAGAGATACGTTGTCCAAAGACCTGGACACCGTGGTGAAGTGGTCTGAATCATGGGACTTGCCAATGAACGCGAACAAATGTCAGCTGTTATCATCCACCTACGTTGGGAGTACAGTGCAAGCATCCATAGGATTACTGACATTGCAGTGGGTAGATAAGGAGAGGGACTTGGGCATCGTTATGGTAGATAGTCACAGGTCTTGGGCGCAGTGCCAATATGCTGTTAACAGAGCGCGACAGGAACTTTATCGCCTCAGTAGAACCATGTGTGATACTAAACCCGAGGTCTTTCTTTCATTGTACAAAGCGGTGGTTCGGCCGCACTTAGAGTATTGTGTTCAGGCTTGGGCACTTTAATTTCGAAAGAATGTCGTTTGCTTAGAGAAGGTACAAAGATTAGCCCCCAGAATGAGTAAAGCCCAGCGTGAGAAGTCGTATGTTGACCGCCTGGATTGCTTAGGCTTGTTCTCGTTGGAACGACGCAGACGAAGGGGAGACCTGAAAGAAACGTTTATTATGAAGGATCTCAGTGGCATTAAGTATACCGATCTCCTTGAACTAGCTACGTGGGACTAGCTGCGGGGACACCATCTGAAGCACAAGAGGTATAGGTCTAGACTGCATATCCGGGCGAAATTTTCACTAACCGCGTAGTACGCATTTGGAATTTATTTGCTCCTGCACTAGTGGAATGTAATACTATAGGAGCCTTTAAAAGAGACCTAGATATGATTTGGTTCACTCTGTTTCCAGATTTTCACTGAGACTAGTGGATTACAATTAGTACCAATAGGATGTCACGAATAGTTTCATTAAGTGATGAGACGTTCCTCTTACTCTTTGTTTGCAGAAGTGAACCTTGAACGTCGAAGTGCCGAGGGCTTTGGCTTGCTTACTGGCAGACGAAACGGGACACTCGTCAGACGAAGGCCTGTTTCACCCCCGAAGATGACCTAACCTGACTCCAGACTGGAAGGCGAGACGGTCGCGTAATAGGAAGTGAAGAGACTAACATCAAAACGTCACTTGCCCATCGATCAAGAGCCGACGACACACTCAACGAGTTTGTACGCTAAGTAACGAAGCACTGACGATGTCACCGCGACTGGTGTCGAAAGGTTTGCAGCACAATTACTCAGTTCGGAGAAAAATGAAAACCAAACAAGTCAACCCGAGCTACAAGTATTCCGAGTTATTGCAAACTCTATCCACCATGCTCGATGAAGCAGATAGGGAGCTGTTTGTTATCCTCTGCGACGGCCAGAAGATCAAGAAATGGTTCTATGAAGGTTTCATAGTATTGCGTGGGCAGCATAATGCCAGGTTGTCCAGGATTAGACAAGAGAATGATTAGGGTTCTCAACCAGAGCCCTTGATTAAAACCTGACCGCGAGGCAGTAGATTAGACAGCGAGCTACAAGGAGTCCGTTTTAAGGAATAAGGAGCCACCCTCATTTCAACCCCAAGCCTGAAGGGCTAGGAGGCTGAGTTTGTATGGCCTCTAACCATTGACCAATCTGGCATGAGTGGCTCTGAAGATGCAAGAAAGCACCACCCAGCATAGTTCAATGGATCGCTGGAGCACGCAAACCACTGCACCATAGTAAGGTCCGATTCTGGATACGCCTGTCACGGGGACAGCCTCAGGACGTCTGCGTCTACAGAGGGTCCATAGGTGGCTTGCGCTGTATCACCCACAGTTCCGTCCACACACCCTATATCCAGTGTAAACCCAAAGGAATAAGACCGGGAGGCATGTGGATGGGAGCCAGGTTTCATTAACAGAGCCGACCCACACTCCTTCAACATGCACAGCAGCAACATTTCTGTCTATATAATTGGAAAGTCGTGTACCAGGCGTACAGAAGGTGGTGGCAAGACCGTAGTCTGCTCCACACTGGATGGAGCTACTCTTTAGGCCAAATGTGGCCACGAGGACCGTGCATCCCGTCTCCCCAGCAACGACCGCTGTATCCAGTAATCGAGGTGAGGGGTGATAGACAGGTAGGCACGATGTCAACATTCACATCAAGCGCAGCCACAACGGGAATATCAAACGACGAACACGGAATTTGAAGGAAAATAAATACGCAGAAATTACACGGATTATGTAGCAGAATAAAAAACTGAGAAAATAAAATAAAACAGAATAGTTTTATCTGGATAAAATGATCTGATTTAGGTGTAAGCCAGTGTAGCCCAACAGTAGTGAAGAAGCATAGTGTATGCAACATCAACCTCAGCATAGGGTGCTGCTGCCAATGCATACCTACAGAATATGAGCTCGGTCGTTGAGCTCCCGTGACTGGTGTGACTCGGCATCGAGTTTTCGTCAGCTGCAACAGAGGTGTCGCCCAAAAAGGTCATGTGAAGCCAATCAACGAGTGCTCAGCCAGAAGCTGCGTTACACAAGAACGCATCCCGAATACATGCTTCCCCCCATCATCATCAGAACATATAACGGTCCGTAGGCGCTGTCGTTCCACATTATCCAAAAGAAGGCGGCGAGTGGTTGGTGACCGTGTGGTGGCCAACATACGCTGAACACCGTTACAATGTCTGGCCGTTATGCAATACCGCATGCCGTGAGACTACCTGCAGGTTGTATTTCTTTTCACTCTGCCTTATTCTCTTCATTTACGTGCGATAATAATCTGTAAAAACGCGGCAATTAGTCAAGCATTAAATAACATGTATAAACATGCGTTAATGAGTACACTGTAAACTGGTACCTTTTCGGGAAACAGGTGACGCCACTGCACCAATCGTTGGACTGCAACGTGCTCCCAGTGGGTTCGCAGAGGACTTTTGCTCAGTTTTCAATGATTGTTTGGAAGTGCGCTGTGCCTTGGAATTCAGTTTCTCCTTCCAAGGACCGAGGGGTGTAGCAACTTCCTCCCTTTTCAGAGATACTGTTGATGAAAATGTCTCTGTAGGCTCAGGCTTCGGCCTTAAAATACAAAGACTCAAAGGTTCTCCCATTTGTGAGATCGGAAAAGCGTTGTCTTGATAAAAACCCGGATTATAAGAGTACTCCAAGCGAACAGAAACACCTCTAGTTGTCCCATAAATTAGAGCGACGATACATTCGCATGCGTTTCAAATACAGACCGGGAACAGAACAGAACAGAAACAAATTTAACAAGTGGTTTCATATGGTAACGAAAAACAGCCACTTCACTCAGCCAGAACAATCTCTAAACTGAGATCCATGTGATTTATGGTAATCTCCTTGTAGTATGCGTCCGATCGTGGATTCCAAGAGCTTGCGTGTCCAGCGTGTACGTATGTCGTAATAGACTTGGAGAGCTGCAATGGAAATCAAATACCTCGGATCAAAACCACCTAGTAAGAGACCACACTAAATCAAACGTGAAAGTAAAGAGAAGATGAAGAATCTATGGCCGTCTGTGCGAGCTACAACGATCTTCTTACTTTGGGGATGACTACAAAGTCACGCTCGGACCTGCTATACTCTCCTTATCAAGCAGCTGATAACGACGTAGGATACAAGTAATCCAGTGGTGGAAAGGCCTTCGCTTCTGGAATACGATGCCCCAATAACGTTAATAAACATTTACGCCGCGTAAGTGATGAAACCCTGGCCGACCTATTACGGTCACACCATAACGTTGCATACGGCACGGCCTTCAAATTAACCGTTGCGTTTCTCATTAAGAAATCATTTTTGCTCTAGCTACAATGGATTTATTCAATCCATAAAACACTTATGATTTTGTTTATCTTGTGTTAACGTTGTACAATTCAGTCAAGATTTTAAAATGTCCCTGTGATATTGCTTTACATCCGCGTATTATGCAATATACCCACGAAGTCTAAAATACTTTCAAAGGATGTATGCAGAAATGTTCTAGTAAATTGAGAAAAGACCGTGCAAGCGAGCTTACATCGACAGCTTCGGTCATCCCACTGTGCCACTTCCGACCATGACTGGAACGAAAACATTTCAATAGTACATCTAGGTATTCGCAGCAGCATCAAAGCTGATTTGCGATGAGCATCAGCGGAGTTGGTCTAAAGCACAACGCTTAAGCTACCAGGAGAGTTCATCTTGCCCCCTCGCCATCGTGTATGCCACCGGCAAACTTCTCAGCTGCCCTATTTCAACACACGTTTGTTGAGCCTGACCCCTATACGTGAAAAGACCAGAGAGGTGCAAATGCACAGTGGACTCTGTCTGCACTCACACTTTCGACCGCAAAGACGCAGTGCGTCTCTATCTTCAGCCTCCATTCACTGGCTCCTTCCGAGTTCTCCATCGAACGCTTAGGCACTACGTCAGACCAGAATGGTCACCAACAACGGTATCCCTTGACCGTCACCATAAACAACAGTACATCAGCGACTTGAACGGATGGTTCGCTGCCATACAACTATAACGAGCTACATAACTGAGAATAATAAAAGAGAAGGAAAACCTACTGTAAAACTTTAATCATCTAAGCAAACATTCAGGGTCAGAGCGCCTACACTTTGTCAACAACATGCCATCACAAGCAGCTGGCTAGCGTGCAAAGATAAAGCGTCATCGGCGAGATAACCTCCTTGCGGCTTTCGATGCCCCGCGTACTAATCAGCCATTACCCTGCAGATAACTAGGCCCTGAACACACTATGGAGCAAGGCATAGTCCAAAACGATTGACAGCCAGTGCTAATCGGTTTAGTGCTGTTTGGCATGTTTGGGGGCTATCACAGATTAGGGCAATATCGCCCGCATAATCCAAGTCAAGAAGTCGCTCACCAGGAAATAGCTCCACACCTTCTAAGTCATGTCCGGTGAACGCTGTTTCCATGACTTCATCAATAGCGAAGTTGAAGAGGAAAGGTGACAGCAGGCATCCTTGTCTCACACCGCTGGTGATACTGAAGGGTGGCGAGAGTTTGCCATAAACCCTCACCCTGCCCGAACTATGCGCGTACAGCGCTTTGATAATGTTTACATATTTATCAGGCACACCTTTCCTCAGCAGACAGTCCCAAAGGGCACATCGATCGACTGAGTCGAAGGCACCTTTTATGTCAAGAAACACGACAACGGTGGGTCGCCAATAAACATGACGGTGCTCCAACACTTCACGCAATGTGAAGATGTGGTCGATGCAGCCCCGACCTCGACGAAATCCGGCTTGCTCTTCAAGAATCTGACTTTCACGAGTGCCAGTCAGTCTGTGAAGAATGACAGAGGCAAGCAATTTAGAGGCAATCGAAATCAGACTGATCCCTCTATGATTGCCGCATTCCAAACGGGAGCCTCCCTTGAAAATTGGGACAAAGACGGAGCGGTTCCAGTCTGTCGGGACTGTCTCCTGCTCCCAAAGTTTTCATCATCATCATCATCGTCATTATACATGTCAGCTAGAGATGGTAAAACACCTCCGCTATTGTACCGCAATACATAAAGGAAATACATACATACATACAATACATAAAGGAAAAATAAATACGACAGTTGAATGCCAGCTGAGATACCCGCAACGGATACGCATCGTTCCGGTAGGCTACTAGCCGGCTACTAGGCAAAACCAAAAATTTAATTACGTTTTACCCTACGAAATAAGATCGTAGATGGAGGGGGAGGCTAAAGGGATGGGAAGGGACAAAGAAACTCACAGCAGGAACGCCACTGAGGTCGGCTCCTTGCCATATCAGCAAGTGTATCCAGCCAAACGTGTTCACCGTCTTTTGGACCCCAACCAGGGAGCCGTGAAGCTCCAACTGAGGCCAGCTCAGAAGTGAGGGCCTTCATTCCTCTGGACCAAGTCATCGCTTGGCCACCTCTCCTCTTCTTCCACCCACATCCCCGGTGAGCAAACAACGCACGTCGAGGGAGTCGGTGGGCTGGCATGCGTAACACGTGGCCGAGCCATCGGAGCCTGGTGAGTGAAATGACGGTGCTGAGCGGTTCATTCTCTTTTCCTAGGCCGTAAACAAGACGTCGAACACGCTCGTTACTCACGCGGTGTTCCCACCAGATGTGAGCCAAACTGCGAAGGCACCGATGGTCGAACGTAAGTAGCCTCTTCATGTCCGCCGATCTTAGGGGCCAGGTTTCGCAACCGTACAGTAGGTCGAACGTACCGCTGCATTGTACACTCTACCCTTCAGGGCGAGAGTAATGTCGCGCCGTCGCCATAGGTGGCGAAGGTTAGCGAAAGCACTTCGAGCTTTCGCTATGCGGTTCGTGATCTCGTCTTCGATCCCAAGGGCGCTGATACAACTTCCCAGGTAATTGAATTTCTGAACGACTTCTAGCTGATCCCCACCAAGGGTCAGCACAGGGGGCGAACCCTGCCAATCCTGGAGGAACGCTTTGCATCGGTGCAAGCAACCGAGCGACTGACAGCCAGTGCTAATCTGTCCAGCGCGGATTGACACGTCTGGGAGCTGTCACAGATGAGGGCAATGTCGTCTGCATACTCTAAGTCAAGAAGTCGTTCTCCTGGGAGTAGCTCCACACCTTCCAAGTCATGTCCTGTAAATGCAATCTCCATGACTTCGTCAATAGCGAAGTTGAATAGGAAAGGTGACAGCGGGCATCCTTGTCTCACACCGCTGGAGATATTGAAGGGTGGCGACAGCCTGCTGTAAGCCCTTACTCTGCCCGTGCTACGCGCATATAATGCTTGGATAATATCTACATATTTCTCGGGCACACCTTTCCTGAGTAGACAATTCCAAAGGGCACATCGATCAACCGAATCGAAGGCACCTTTGATGTCGAGGAACACGACTACGGTGGGCCGCCAATATGTGTGACGGTGCTCCAACAACTGACGCAAGGTGAAGATGTGGTCGATGCAGCCACGACCCCGACGAAACCCGGCTTGCTCCTCACGAATCTGGCTTTCACGAGCGCCAGTCAGTCTGTGGAGAATTATGGACGCGAGTAATTTGGAGGCGATGGAGATCAGACTGATTCCTCTATGGTTGCCGCATTCCGAGCGCGAGCCGCCTTTGAAGATGGGAACAATAACGGAGCGGCTCCAGTCGGTTGGGACAGTTTCCTGCTCCCACAGTTTCACTAGTAATTCATGCAAAGCATCAACAAGAGCAGAGCCTCCAAATTTGAAGAGGACTGGAGGAAGATCATCTGGTCCCGCGGCTTTGTTCAACTTCAACAGTCCGATCTCACGTTCGACTTTTGAGCGAGAGGGTGGATCCAAAGGGACAGCCCACGGAGCGGGGCGATCAGTGACCGGCGAATCGAACAATTCTTGCCGATTAAATTGCTTTTCAAAATGCTCAGCCCAACGCTCCAGACGTTTTGACAAATTGTGGATAGGCTGTCCACTCTCGTCACGTATAGTTTCACTAACACCAGGTCTCCTGCTGCCCGTTTCCCGTATCAGACGGAATAACTTACGATGGTTGCCAAGGGCAGCGGCCACTTCCATCTCTGACGCACGATGAGACCACCAAGATTCGCGGTCTCTCTTCAGGCTAGCACGGAGTTTTGCCCGGAGCTCTTTGCGAGTTTCATTGTGCTCGCTTCCAGCCGGGATTTGCCGGCGAGCATCTATAAGTTCCAAAGACTGCGAAGAGACCCAATGTCCATGTTGTCTATTAGACATACCACATGAGGATTTGCCTGCTGCTAGTAAGGTCTGGCGAACATGTGACCAGTGACCATCAATTGTCTCCTGTGAGCGCTTGCTCAAGTCGCATGTTAGCGTACTTCGATACGCATTCAGAACAGCTGGTTTTGTCAGTTGGCTGGTGTCAATACGCTCACAGCGTCGTCGTGGGCGTCCGCCAAAACGCATCCGCATGTCAGCACATACAAGTGCATGATCGGTGTCCACACATGTGCTCCAAATCGAGCGACAATTCTGGATGCAGCCTCTCCAGCGGTAACTTATCGCAATGTGAGCGATCTGCGTCCAAGGCTGGTTCGAGGCTGGTGAGCGCCAAGTCACCCTTCGGCGGGTGCTGTGTCGGAAATTAGTGCTCGCAAGAAATA